TAAGCAGGGAGAGAAAGAATGCTTTGCTCTTAGGAGGTATTTATATTGTCAAGACAGAAAAAAAAAGCAAAAACCCCGAAGCAAATGTTCTGGCTGTTGAAACAGTGATGAAAATCATCAGGGGCTCTCACCTGGCCTGCATGCCATCTGTGTGGCATCTGTGGCATCACCGTGCCCCAAAGCCACCCTGCCGTAACGCAGGGCTCCAAGCCGCGACTCTGCTTTTTAGCTGCAACTGCAAAAGTCCACCTGAGAACTGCCTCCCCCACCTGTTTCTAACCCTTTCGTTTTTCACCACTGCATGAGGACCACATAGACCCCTGTCTCCGCCATCAAAGGATCACTGGGGTTTTTTCCCCCCCTATGCCCAGCTGTCTCCTTTCGGGAAGGTGACACACTATGGCCATAGGAGATTGTGTTTCAGCTCCCTCGTGCTCTTCCCACGCTTGCCCCACACAGCCAGGTCCATCCCCCCCCTTGCTGAAGGAACAACCCAAAGCATTCCTCACACTGGAGACCTCCCCGCTGAAAAGTAATTTCCTTGCCGAGGACCAAGTTGCATTATCTCATTAAGCCTGCACATCTTGACCCAGCTGCCACTCTTGAAAAGGTCCCCACTTAGCATTTGACAGGAATGTCAGCAATTCGGATGCTTAATGAAACCAGGGAAGGGCTTGTCACTCTAACCATGCTAATAGCTAAGTGCCCTGTCCCTCTGCACCCCAGCCAATGCCACGGTGCAGGATGCTGCCCTCTCCCTGCGGTGGAGGGCAATAGTGGCACCGACCACATAGCAAAGGCTAATGTGTAGATATGGATGAAAGACTTGGTGTTAAGGAGGTGGTTTTGGAGGATTTGACCGGTAGGACCCATTCTGCCCTGGACTCCCCAGATCAGCAGGACAGCCTTTTGGGATCATGCCGTAATACTAACACTAACAACAGTGGTAACGGAGATGATAACAATTTGCTTTGGCGCGTCTATGACAAACACTGGCATTAGTTCTTTGCAATTCTTTGTCATGCTGAAGGAAAGCTTTAAGAAACAAGATTCTTACCCTTTAAACAAAACACCTGGCAACCCTGACAGCAGAGGCTTCTGCCTGAGACAGGCATTAACCCTCATCCCAATATTTACCTTTAAGCTGGTGGCCACTTGGCTCAGAGAGGACAACTCAAATTGTCAGAAAGCCATAAATTTTAGGATGATCTATTTTTCATGTTTATGAGAACACCATGGCCCCAGATTAAAACTCTCTTGGGCACTGTCCACAGGGGGATATGGTTTTCTTCCAAGGACTTTCCATCCTGGAAAGACTGGGACTCGGTGACCACACCCAGGGTCTCCAGTAGACTGGCTTTTGGGGGAGGTGGCTAGCAGCCCCGCTGCGGGGTTACGTTTTGCACTACCAGACCCAGTACTGGTGACCACTGCTAAAGTGGTGGCAAGAGATTCCAAAGAAGGACATTTTGGAGTAGGAGCAAGAGGCAAGACAAACTCACCAGTTCTGGCTTGCACAGCTGACTAAGGGGAGCAGGAGAACTTCCACTGGCATTTAACTTGAGATATCTCCTACCTTAATACAAATACCTTTTCTCTACGTGAACACTTACTGGATTTGTCATAGTCAGTCCATGGGGAGCTTTCCTGAACATGGAAACTGGATTCATCCAAATAACACCGCTTAGCTGTCCCCATCAGTTTTAAGAGTTGTTGTTTGAGGACCCCATCACACAGAGAGAATGTGAAACACATCTGATGTCTGAAAGCTGTCATCAGAGTTTCCTCCAGATGCCAGTAAGCCCGGGTCTGTGTTTAACTCTTATTTAACAGTACTCCTGTGGAGACGAGTAGCACAGATCTTTTCCCATCCATTCTCGAATGGGGTGTAATTGCCAGCATCATGGAGAGATGTCCCACCAGCTTATGAGTACATGCTACAGAGGGAACCTCAGTACAAGAGTATTCAAGGAATGAGAACATTTCTCCCACTGCTGCCCCTTGGGATACAGAGGAGTCACCATACTAAATGCAATTCTCTTCTGGCTGGAAAAACAACCCTGAGCAACTGCAAGACAATAGACAGACGGGCCTCGTTGTCTCTCCTCGCTTTCAGGAGACATGTGTGGTAGATACGCGAGGCTTTTCTTGCTGCACTCTGAACTGGCAGCATCACAGGGAGCTGATTTCTCCACTGCTTTGTGTCCAAAGATGATTTTGGAAGCTGAAATCTCACTTTAGCCATGAACAAAACCAATTTGTGATGGCCAGCTTGCTGTACTGCTGGGTTAATGGAGATATGTGTGCTTATTTGTTCTGGTTATCAGTGACATAGTCTCTCTATCTGTCATGGAAAACTCATTGACAAAGCAGGAAGGAAATGAAGCTGCAGTTGACCGATAAGTGCTTTGCATGTCTCTGTTCCCCACTGTTTCAGTCTTGGTCATTGACCTTGCACACTGACTGGGAAGAGGAAACTGTCCTGGCATTCAGATACAGTCTCACGTGAGCCATTTCAGCTGGGTGCACACTTGCATCCCACTCTCAAATGGCCCCACCACGCATGTCGCCCTTCAAGTATTTTGCCAAGTTTCCTTAATACAGGACAGAAAAACTGCAGAGAAAAATAGCTCCAAAGAGCCCGATCCTCCTTAGAAATGTTGTCTCCGGTTTCTGATGTCAAAAAAACCTCCAAGAAGCAGGATAAAATGAGGACAGAGTTATTTCCAAAGTCTGGACAAAAAGAGACTTTAGGCCTTGAGGTACAATAAAAGCTGCTGCAGTATCTTTAACAGGGAGCAGACTTGTGGAAGAAGAGCACCATGACTAGGGTTGTAGGACTGAGACTTGGGCTTATCTTTTCAGAAACTTATTCCAGCTGATCTCATTGTTACACCACCTAAAGTGTTCAATGAGGAGGACGTCTCAGTTCAATTGGTCACCTTGGATAAATCCTCCTCCAGGCCTTGAACAGTGGAAAAAAACCCCATGTATCTGAACTGAGGAAATTTCTGACCTTCTGCTGCAGGGGAATGGTCCCATCTTCACCCTCACAGAGCAAATGCTGTCACACCAGCAAACGCACCTACTCACCCCACTAGGAAGTGGAGAAAGGAAGGTCACACAAGAGATGTGGTACCAGTGAGCATGCTCAGGTATGGTAGTGGTGGGGTATAATGAGACCCTAAATCAAGCAGAACCTACATCTTAGCAAGAGAGAGGAAGGAGGTGGTTAAATATAGAGGTGTAAAGGCAGGCTTGAAGTCATGCTTGCTGTTGTGAAAGGCCAACCTATTAGCAGATACCAAGACTTCAGGGCTTTCCAGCGTGGCCCAAACCCAAGGTCATCCCAACACGTCATCGAAGACCTTTGGCACAGAAGTACCAAGGGGGGTGGAATCACCCTTGCTGAATTGACAGGTTTTTACCTCTTGCCAAAGTCTGGCTTGGTGTCAGGGAGCTGAGCCAGGGGATATTGTGGTTCAGGGCTGGTTGTGACTGAAGCTCTAGCTCAAGCCATTCCAGCCGGAGTTCAGCATCATTCAAAGCCCAGGTTTGGCTGGGCTCTGGTTCAAGAAAAAAAGTCACTGCTCCAACGGGTTGTGCCTCCTGCGGGACGTGACTGCTCACAAAGTGCATGGGATCACATGGGATGTAGGAGTGGATTTTTGGGGCACTTGTCTGTGACGGAAGGACTGTGTAGCTTTTGTTTAGTCTAGTTATAAATGTCATACGTTATATATCCTTCACCATTTCCTCGTAAGACCACTTCGCTAATGGATATCTGCACCAGGAAACTTTTGTGGCTAGACAGCCAAAATTTTACCTTCTTCACTTTCAGCCCTTCCTTATAACCCTGTAATTCCTCAGGATTTATGTCATTCCAATATTTGTTTCATTCTCCCCAAGTTGCTGCTAGCCAAGCCAGTGATATTTCATTTATTTTAATCTTTCTTCCAGAACTTCCATTTTTCCAATCTGAATCTTGGTGCCTGTTTTTTCCCCCGATGTTCATCTCATTTGCCAAGGAAAGGCTAAGGCAATATTGCATTATATCCAAAGTGAAAATTATTTTGTTAGAGTAGCTAACTGGGCTAAAAGAAGAACTTGCCTTAACCAGAGCTGATCATCCACTTTGCCTTTTAACTTTGATAACAGTGAGAGTGAAAGAAATCTAACTCACCAGCTTAAACTGCTGGCACCATCTAATTTCTGGGGAAAAAAAAAGAATTAAATTGAGACTTTCGGGTTTTTTGGTATTGCTGAAACTACTCATATATAAGCACCACCAGTGTCATGTAACACAGACAAATTATTATTTTGTGTGGAATAACTAGAAGGTATTTTTTTCAGGAACACTTAGGTCAGTTACATGTATTCTCTGGTCATTACCATTTATAATTTTGTGTATGAGGAATTTAAACTTTGAGTTGTGTTGCCCTGTGCGGAGAGGAACACTTGGCTGAATAAATCTGAGAAACTGTTACATCAGACCCACAGCAGGCAATTACTAAATATTGAGGGAAATTGCTTCATACATCAGCTGATACATCATGTTATAATTATTTTAACCTTCTGTAAACAAAAATCAATTCAGATAGGTGTGCGGCTATATTAATAAACTATTTTTGGGTGCTTCCTACTCCATTTGCATTAGCCTTTTTTCAGGGGATAAGATTTCTCTTTGAATTTTGCTGAAGTATTGGCCAACAGATCTACGCTTGCAAAATATTTGACTGGTGAAAGAGAAGGTAAAAGTCAAATGATGGTTATGCTCTTCCGTTTGCATTTTTAAAAATGCACCGAGTTATGTACAGAATTTGAAGAAATAAAGAGTTCGCTAACCTCTCCATAAATGTGTGATTTTCTTTGTATGGCTAATTTTGCTCACTGGAAGCCATGTTTTCTGTAATATATAATTTTTTTCTGTAAACAAAATATTCCAACCTAATCTTGAAAGAGTTGG